CCATCTGTGCTCATCAGTAAGGGAAGGAACACAGAATCCGACGAATTTTCGGAGAAACTAAGCCCCTCCGCTTCTCCCGCTCGCCACGGCCCAGGCCGGGCTCATTAAGCGGAGGGCTTAACGAGGGGAAGAGGCTCAGAGGCTCTGACGCCATTCTCCCCCACGGCACCCCCTCGCCGTCCCCCGCTAATAATGGGCTACTGGGAGAGACTAATTAAGTGACCCCAGAACCATAAAAACTAATTCTAATGAAAAGCAGAGCCGGAGGTGTTGCTGTGGTTAGCGACACGCTACCACGCACACGGTCTGCAAATCAGATCTCGGATCAGCCCGCGCTCAGGCCAACTAGGCCGCCTACCCTCTTGGAACGGTTAATTGCAATCAGATTCAGAGGTGATTGAAGATAAGAACACTGCTCTGTGCACTGGCTGATACCGCAAGTCTGTATAATGTGATATATTGTATAGGCCACATCGCATTCAATAAGCCACTACGATTCTGAATGGAAGTAGAATGCGTGCCGCATCCCAAAAAGGGATTGATCAACGGCGAATACTTCATTCCTTTTCTTTATCTTTTTTTCAATAAAAAGTATATAATTCTCAAAACCTTATGCAATTAAAAACCCACTTCATCTGTATGCGCTGGTATCAACACCATCGGCTTGCAGTCTTCGATTTGCTTGGCTAATGCATTTTTATCATCTTCGTTCATTATACTACCGTAATCTTCATACCAGGTACGATAAATCAAATATGACGCAGTGTCCTGAACAACTTCAATGGTCCTCCAACACCAGTCACTACAAACGACACAGTCCGATCTTTATAATCACCTCCCAATACTCCTCAAACGTTGCGTTTTTCAACCATCTATGAGCGTCATCAAGGGTTCTTTTCCTTTTTCGATAAAACCTGCTATGGTCTTGCTTCTTCGCTGATCCGAACCGTTTAGGGAGCTCTGCCCATGCATCTGCCTTCAGCTCAGGAGGTTTTGCATCTGGAATGTTGCCTATTCAAACACATAGAAGAAGAAAGATGAGCGATCACAATAAATAAGACT